CCAATTCTGTCGTCGTGCTGAACGGAAATGACAATCGTGTGGACGCGGATGGGAATGACGGCCCCGCGATCCTGCTTGTACTGAACCGTCACCTGAAACGGGAGCCAAAAAGGAGCACATCTCGCACGACGGCCGAAAAGGAATCTTTAGCCTGCTTATGGCGGCAGGGGTGGGGGGCTTCCCACAGGGGAAGATGCCACGCCAATCCTTACCTGGGTCTTTGAATCCGGCCGCAGCCAAGTCAAGATATGATTCCGACGGAGTTCGGCCAGTTTTGCATTCAGCTGGTGCGCTAGGAGAAGAGTCAGGGGCATGCACTCGTCGGTCTCGTCGGTAGCATAACCAAACATCAAACCCTGAAGCAGGAACGACACGCGGGACAATAAATTCCGGGCTCAAAACAGGCAAGTGCTCAGGATTCACATTAGGTTCTAGTTCGGGGCGACAAACTCGATTTCATTGAGGGCCACATCAGGGTTGTGTTTGACCTGACGTGTGTGTGTGTGCATGTGTGCATATGGGCCGGGTGGGCATGACAAGCTAGATGTTACTCTTGTCAGGGGTGCCTGAAGCCCTCTGCCAGCGAAAACAGGCTCCCAGGCTCCGTTTTCAGCTGCCACGGCCTCCGGCAATCCTCCACCAGTGAAAACGAAGGGAGCCTGTTTTCGCTGGCAAAAGCACTGTGGTCCTCCCTTGTCTCCAGGGCAGCCCCGCGGGCCAGCCCTAGCACCCCGCAGGCCGGATCCAGGCCCCAGGCCTTGAGTTTTGACACCCCTGTTCTGCTTTATCACATATCAATAAGGTCTTAATCCCCACCTGATCCCCGGCACCGATGTCCTCTTCCTTCCTGTCGAGGTGCACCCCTTGAGCGATGTCCGGAGACTGCTGCTCCAGAGCGACCAGCACGTTGCACGTTTTGAAGTCGAAGCCTAAAACGCAGGAAGGTTTTAACCTCAGGATGAGGGTGTTAAAACTGCATCCAACCCCCCCCCAAAAGCTTCCCGATCAAAACCCAAACCCCCCCCCCCAAAAAGGGGGTAGCTAAGCCTAGCAGGCACCCACAATCCGCTCACCTTTGGAAGAATCGTCGTAGCCGACGTGCTTGATTGTTTCACGAACAATTTTTTGATAGTCAACCGCGGCAGCAGAGGTGATCTCTCCGGCCAGGAGAATCATCCCAGTTTTAGCAGCCGTTTCTGCATTGGAGGACAGATTGAACACTTGTCAGTTTCAGCGCCGCAGAATCTCAGATTTTTTTTTAAAAAAAAAACCTGAATATATACTGTGTTCAGCCCCTTCTATAAAAAGCCAGGCGCACTCACCGCATGCTACTTTGGCATTTGGATCCTGCTTCAGATGCGCATCGAGAACAGCATCGCTAATTTGATCACAGATCTTATCTGAAAACAGAAAGGTTCTATTATTCCTTGTGATTCTAGGAACATTTGTTCACGTTTTGTAATTTAAAGAGTATGTCTTCCACGTTTTAAGAAATCTGTTACATCAATGATCAATTAAAACCATCTCTCCTTTTTAAAGTCTGTTCTGGCCATCTCTTTGCCAAGCAATTTAAAATAGAGTGACTTAGCTTACCCTATTGTAACTGTAAACAAGACATTCCCGTGTCCTGGGTAACCTTTCAGGCTAGCCCAGTGCTTAGCACAAGTATCTCCAACCTTGACAGCTTCAAGACTTGTGGGCTTCAATTCCCAGAATTCCTCCTCCGGTCATATTAGCTCAGGAATTCTGGGAGTTGAAGTCCACAGGTCTTAAACTTGCCAAGTTTGAAGACACTTGTGCTAAGCACATAACTGGGAGCAGCCATAATTTCTTATAAAGTTTGCCTTAGGAGAACCTAGATAGAGGGTCACAAGGGTTGGGCTTAAGCTGATGGCGCACAATAAACCCAATAAACCATGAAAGATAGCTTTTACTCAAGTGTTATTTATGTATATAGTTCTTAGCTTGGTTTGGGGGCAATGTTAAAACTAGGCTTCTAATCCACTGCTCCATAGGAGTTAGTCAAGGAATAACAAAGCTGCCATTGTCTCGGTGTCAAATGGGTGAACTTTTGAGTCAATCCTGTCCCTGGTGACTGCTTTGGGAGTAGTCCGTGCAATTTTCTTGGCAATATTCTTGGTTTGCTACGGCCTTCTTCTTAAAGCCTGAAAAACACGCCTGGCTAAGCCACCCAGCTGGCTTTTCTACCCAAAATAGGACTACAATTCAAATCTCTTGGTTTGTAGCCTGGCACCATTAAACATACCAAAATGGTTCCTCCTGATACTGTGGGTGTTTAAATTTACTCAATCCAATCTGTTTGTATATGTTTAGGTATATTTTCAGTTTTTAAGACCTGCATTTAAACACTTTATGGGATGGGACAGCTTAATACCAAAATCTCCTTCTTTGTTGTAAGGTTAAGTCTTTTCCATCCCTTCTGAAAACACAGAATGTGAGTATCCTACAGTCAATTAGAGCTTCACAGGGCAGGGCCCCTGCTGATTCACAGTCTATTATAAGAGGCTCTCCTACTACTCTGTTCTTGAGAGGACACAAGATGGCAACAAGGAGAATAAGCATCTTTAGAGGAGAATCCTATATACGGGCAAGTAAGGACAAGAGAAAAAGAACGCACTGCATTGTTAAACATGGTATTATCAAGCTAATAATCAAGGCTAGTCCAGAATCTTTTACAAGGAAATGGTAACCTTATAAACATGAACATTTGGAGAACATGTTTGGAATTCTATGTTATAAAAATGATCAATAAAGGTGGAAGATTTGGTTAAGCTATGGTATAATACTAAGATATTAGGAATCTTGGAGGTAAAATAAGTGGACAAGTATCAATGCATTCATATCCTGCCTGTGGGTTTCTTGTAGGGATGACTGGTCTCTATGGAATAAAATGCTAGATTAGATTGCTTTGATATGGCTTTGGAGTACCTACACCTGTAAAAGCAAGCAGTATCTTAGACAACGCAGCAAACACAAGCAATGCTACTAAAACCTAGACAATGCTTGCTCCTATAGCTTTCAAAAAAAAACAACAAAAAAAAACACCCCACACTATTTTAAACCGAGATGTGGCTCCCATTGTTTTAGAATGCAATTCAGTATTCTGGTAGGTGCCATATCAGAAAAAGATCGTGTGCATAATGATGTAAGTTCTATAGTATAGTAAAATGTAATTTTTATCAGTTTCACGAAATAAATTAACAGCTGGGGATTCAGAACAAATTTCAGGGAATTTCTAGCTTGTAGTGTCTCCAAAGAAACTTAGTACAGATTGCTTTGTCTCTTGTGTATCTTTTAGCAACTGACAGCCTGCCATTAGGTGGGCTAGATGACCTTTGAGATGCTGTTCTACAGCATGGCTCCCCAAACAAGTCGGGAGTCCTAACTATGGTATGAAAGGAAGAACAGTAATGAGCAGTTCAGCGAAGGGTGCAAGGTCTCCCATTCATTTCACCAAGCACACCTATTAAATCATGTCCATTACTATCAAATCTTTTTTATTCCCCAAAGCAGAGGAATTGAGACTATTAAAGAGATCTGATCCACCCTGCAGGGAACATTACAGTGCTCTCCTTTTAATAGGAACCACATGGCATTCAATGGCTACATGTCAATGGCGGAAAACAAGGATGATCTACCGGTTCTCCCTGCTCTTTTGCCATGCACTAACCTCGCCCACTCTTCCATCCAACGCATCCTATCCCAAGAATCATGATCTCAGAAATAACTCCCATTTAGATCAACACGGCAACAAACACTGGTTTGTCCCACTGCTGAAAACCAGTATAGCTCCTTTCTTCCCCCCGCCAAAAAAAAAAAAAAGGCTCAGACATCATGGCGGAAGACAATGGAAAAGGCCAGATGCCTTCCAAGATCGCGGGGCATTCAAACCAGGACCGCTCGTCCGGTTCCTCAGTTCCGCTTCTCTACTCAAAGCCTCTTTTGTTGCAGAAGAGCTTGAAAGAGGAAGGTGCTTTTCTGAAAAACCGCCTATTATTTTTAAGGGCCACTGATGTGCGATTCCGGCCAGTGGGCTTTTATATCCTTCCAACTAAGCCTGCAACGCTCCTTTTATTTGGGGGTTCTTGAATCAGAAAAGGGTTTGGCCACCCTTAAATCTTGTAGCCCCCCCCCCCCCCCCCCCCCCCCCCCCCCCCCCCCCCGTCTCCTTCGCCGGTCGGCCCGCTTGGCCGCGCCGAGACGGCAAGGAGGGAGGGTCGGTCTCCCGCAGGCGTTTTCCTTCCCTCCACCCCTTCGCAAGACGGAGAGGCTCGAAATTCGGTAAAAAAAGGGAGGCGGGTCGTGTAACCCTCCCCCTCAAGCCGCCCCCCCCGATTTTCCGCAGCCGCCCCGTTGCGTCATTCAGCCGGGGGTCGCGCTGGCCAATCAGGAGGCGAGCGGCGCAGCGCGCGCGCGCCCTCCCGCCTGTCTATCTTCGCCTCAGTCCTCCGCGCCTCTCCTCACTCCCCCCCCCCCCCCCCCTGGTAGCGCCGGGCTCCTCGGGCGCCCCCCCCCTCACCTGGATGCCCTTCCCCCACCGACTCTGAGGTGAAGAGGAAGGTGCCGTCCTCGATCCTGCTGTCTCGGAAACCATTCATGGCGGGGGCGAACACTGCGAGGCCGAAAGGAGAGAGAGAAAAAGCGAGGAGGCGTCAAAAGCCGGCGGCGGGAATGATAATAATAATAATAAAAAAAAATTAAAATATATATATATAAATAGACGAGCCCCCTTTAAGCGGCGCAGCAGAAGCAGAAGCGGAGCGCCCGAGGAATGAGGGAGCCTGCCGCCTGGCGCCGATATTTATAAGAGAGGCCACGCCCCCTTGGACGAAACCACGCCCCCTGGCCTTTTTGGGAGAAGCGGGAGGCGGCTTCCCCCCCCCCCCCCCCCCCCCCCCGAAGGGCAAAGTCGTGAGGGCTGCTCGGTTCTCCTCCCCTCGACCCTCCCGCCGGCGGGCGCCTCAGTTGACTCACCGGCCCCCATCTCGGAGGGGGAAAGGGAGGAGGAGGCGCCTCTGCCCGGCCGATCGGTCTCCGCCTACGCGCGGAATTTTCCCGCCTCGCCGCTCTTCCCGAGTGAGCTTTTGGCGGGCGTCGGGGCCTAGGCGCGCCGGCTCTGTGTGTGTGTGTGAGTGTGCATGAAGGCTGTGCGTGAGTGTGTGAAGGCTCTGTGCTTGTGTGTCTGTAGGAAGGCTCTGTAGACTGTGTGTGTGTATGTGAAGGATGTGTGTCAAGGCTCTGTGTAGGCCCTGTGTGAGTGTGTGTGAAGGCT